ATAAATGTCTATCAGGGATGGTCTAGACAGTATTTGGTCCTGCCATGTGGGCAGGGGACTGGACTCGATGACCTATCGAGGTCCCTTCCAATCCTAGAATCTATGAATCTATGAATCAGGCACCTACATCCATATTTAGCCACTTAGGTAAAAGAGGTCTGATTTAGTCAGAGGTGCCAAGCCAGCAGGGCCTGCGGGTGCTCAGCCCTGATGAACTCAGGCCACTCGCTGTCTACCTATGCATTTAGGCCCCTAAGCTTGAAAATGTTAGCCTTAGGCTGGGGTTTGTCAAAGGAGCCTAAAGAAATCAGGCACATAAATCCCATTGATGAACGAACAGAATGCTGGGAATAATTAAGAAAGGGATAGATAATAGGACAGAAAATATCATGTTGACTCTATATAAATCCATGGTATGCCCACAGCTTGAATAGTGTGTGCAGATGTGGTCGCCCCATCTAAAAAAAGATATGTTGGAATTGGAAAAAGTTCAGAAAAGGGCAACAAAAATTATTAGGGGTATGGAAAGGCCTCCGTATGAGGAGAGATTAATAAGACTGGGACTTTTCAGCTTGGAAAAGAAACAGCTAAGGGGAGATATGATTGAGGTCTATAAAATCATGACTAGTGTAGAGAAAGTAGATAAGGCAGTGTTGTTTACTACTTCTCATAACACAAGATCTAGGGGGGTCACGAAATGAAATTAATAGGCTGCAGATTTAAAACAAATAAAAGGAAGTATTTCTTCACACAATGCACAGTCAACCTGTGGAACTCCTTGCCAGAGGATGTTGTGAAGGCCAAGATCATAACAGGGTTCAAAAAAGAACTAGATAAATTCATGGTGGATAGGTCCATCAATGGCTATTAGCCAGGATGGGCAGGAATGGTGTCCCTAGCCTCTGTTTGCCAGAAGCTGGGAATGAGTGACAGAGGATGGATCACTTGATGATTACCTGTTCTGTTCATTCCCTCTGGGGCACCTGGCACTGGCCACTGTCAGAAGACAGGATACTGGGCTAGATGGACCTTTGGTCTAACCCAGTAGGGCCATTCTTATGTTCTTATTCTCTGGGATTTGGGCAGCTAACTCCCACAGACATCTTTGAAAATCCCAGCCCTAGTTTTTCCTCTCTGTATATGGAAATTTGCAAATGCAGGATACCTCTTTAGGCCTTTGGCCATTTTTGTTGCCTTTTTCTGGTGCTTTCTGTGTTTGTTGCATTTTTTAACCTTGATACAGTATTCAAAGTTAGGACTGACCCATGGTTTATATAATGGCATGAAAATACGTAACTCATTATTCCCTGGCCCTTTCTTAGAAAGCTAGTGGCTTATACATTTTTTCGGTTGTTGCTGCACATTAAAAGGTAAGTCTATGCTGCATGCTTCTTTCGGCAGCATGGGGAAGGCTCTCTGCAGTGGGGAAGGGCTCCAGCATCAGGGAGCTGCGGGAGCCTTTCCTCACTGCTGCAGTTATTCCCAGGGAACACTGGCAACGGAGAGGAAGTGGGAAAAGGTCCCACCACCTTCTGCCTGCCAGAGCCTTTCCCCACCTCATGGAAAGATTACAGCAACAGGGAAAGGCACTGGCAGGCTCAATCTTTCCCCGCTGCCTCCTCTGCCTTTCACTGAGACATGTAGTACACACCGCAGCATGGACACAGCCTGCTTTTCACTGCAGTGTGTAGCTTAGGGTTGCCAAGTGTCCTGTTTTCTACTGGAACGCCCGGTCGAGAAGGGACCCTGACAACTCCAGTCAGCACTGCTGACCGGGCCGTAAAAAGTCTGGTTGGTGGGACTGGCAGGCTCCCTACCTGGCTCCTTGCAGCTCCCCGGAAGCAGTGACATGTCCCTCAGCTTCTAGGCAGAGGGACGGCCGGGAGGGTTCTGCACGCCACCCCCACCCTGAGCACCAGCTTTGCGGCTCCCATTGGCCTGGAACTGCAACCTGCGGGCGGAGGCGGTGAGCGCGCAGAGCCACTTGGCCGCGCCTCCACCTAGGATTCAGAGGGACATGTCACTGCTTCCAGGGAGCCCTCCGAGGTAAGCGCCACCCGGAGCCCACACCCCACACCCCCTCCTGTATCCCAACCCCGTCCCAGGACTGAGCCCCTTCCTGCACCCTAAACTCCTCGTCCCTGGTCCCACACCAGAACCTGCATCCCCAGCTGGAGTCCTCACCCCCTCCAACACCCCAGCCCTCTGCCCCAGGCCAGAGCCCCCTCCTGCAACCAAACTCCCTCCCAAAACCTGCAACCTGCACCCCCTCCTGCACCCCAACCCCCTGCCCCTGCCCAGAGCCGCTTCCTTCACCCCAAACCCCTCACCCCCAGCCCCACCCCAACCCCCTGAATCCCAACCCTCTGCCCCAGCCTGGCCCCCCTCCCACACCCTGAAGCTCTCATTTCTGGCCCACCCTGGAGCCCACATCCCCAGCTGGAGCCCTCACCCCCTCCCGCACCCCAAGCCCCTGCCCCAGTCTGGTGAAAATGAGCAAGTGAGTGAGGGTGGGGGAGAGCCAGCAACCGAGGGAGGGGGAATAGAGGCGCGGGATCTCAGAGAAAGGGCGGTGCAGGGCCTCAGGGAAGAGGCGGGGCAAGGGTGTTCAGTTTTGTGCAATTAGAAAGTTGACAACCCTAGTGAAGCTGCACAAACCCTACATGCCACCACCAGCAATGTGTAGTATATACATAGCCTAAGATGTGCCCAGTGACATCTAGATCTTTTGCCTAATAAGTTGTAACCAGAGGCGCTGTAGTCTGTTGTGGCTAGATTTGAGCAGCTTTGAGGATGCTATAACTTCTTTCAGCACCTACTGATCTGGAGGAAGATTTTCAAAGGCCCCAGTGTGTAGTCATGCAACCGGCTCATATTTGTGTGTATGAAAATCTCCCCTTTATACTTTCTGTGTAATTTCATCATGTTCATTACATTTCTTAGTTCTGCCTCCAACTTGCTTTCTTGAAGTTTAATACCCTTGTCGCATCTTAGGGCAGGTCTACACTAACCCCCCAATTCGAACTAAGGTACGCAACTTCAGCTACGTGAATAACGTAGCTGAAGTTTGAAGTACCTTAGTTCGAACTTACCTCAGTCCAGACGCGGCAGGCAGGCTCCCCCGTCGACTTCGCGGTACTCCTCTCGCCGAGCTGGAGTACCGCAGTTGACGGCGAGCACTTCCGGGTTCGACTTATCTCGTCCAGACAAGACGCGATAAGTTGAACCCAGAAGTTCGATTTGCTTGCTGCCGAACTACCGGGTAGTGTAGACCTACCCTTAAATTATCCAGCATCTACTATATATGGCCCATCGTCTGTTCTTAGATATGCCAGTGTAAATTCAGATTAACTCTATTGGGCTCAAAATAGTTACTCCAGATTTGCACTGATGTAACTGAAACAAGAATCTGGCCCTATCAATTTATACAATGCTCCTCAGGGACTGGGATGTCCACTGTAGGTGTTAAGCGTATATACTGTGACTTTAAGAGCAGAGCATGTGTTAGAGAAAAGAGGATTGGGCTAGGAAGATGGGTTGGAAGCATTCCAGAGTCAGCTTCACTAGATACACAGCTAGGCGCACACTGCTCTCCTTTGGCTTATGTAATCCTATTTTAGTTCTACTAAAGCCTTACTTCTAAGAGACCAGACTGTGCCTCCTTCTTCTAAATCCACAAGCCAACACATTTAACTTTATAAGCAAACCTGGCAACTGACAATCTTCTCCCTCATAAAACAGAGCATTATCTGATTCCTCTATATCCTTGAAGCTGGCACCATGTAAGATGCTCACCTACAATACAACAGAACGCCTCGTTCCTTATACTGTTTACACATTCTTTGTTCCATTACTTTTTGGGGGAAAGATTTCAGTTGCTTGCTCTACCCACTACAGCTGGCACCATCTACTTCTCAGGATACAAATCTTTCCCAGCTGGCCAAAGCGGTGAAGTAATAGAATTACAATGAATGAGAAGGGTTGGGTGGGTAGCTGGAGGATTTCCTAACCAGATAAGAATGAATTTATCATTTTTCCTCAGGTCCACATGACCAGTTTGCAGAGAGATTAATCATTTCTTTTCTTATTTGCTGCTGTTCAGTATTGTTTTGTTTTGGCCCATTATTGAGGTAGGAACTGAGTGTCAACATTTTCATTCAGCTCTGAATATGAACTCTCCCAAAGTTCAAGAGAGTTGGTTCTGAGTCACCTTTAAAACAGCCCTTTTGCAGCTTCAGGAACCTCTGGGGAGCAAATCAGAGGAGAGTCAGAAGTTCTCAGATATTATGGTGAGGGGGGACACCTCCATAGATTGATACATCTTATTCTGATCCCAGTTACACTTGTGTAAATCAGGAGTAATGCTGCTGAAGTCAATGAACGTACACTTAATGCTGATCAAAAAACTGGAACATTTTTCACAAAACAGTTTGCAAATAATGGGTCCCTGGTTTTCGTTTAAAAAAAAAATCAAAATTTGTTGACCAGCTCTAGTTACAGGTATAGACAAGTGATGTTTATGACTGGAGCATCACGTCTATGAGCTTGAACAGTGCACTAGGGAAAGAGAGAAAGCATTCAAGAGGCTTGTAGCACACTGCCAGTGATAAGTCCTGAATTACTGTTTTTTAGCCAGACTTTTGTCCTGACTCCTAACATGTATTGCCACATGATCAGTCTCTCCGTCTTCATAAATCTCAGCTCCCAGCTCAACCTGCCATTTATCATAACGCTTCCATAGGATACTGGGCTTACTGTCCCCTACCATTAATAATACCTAGGTAGTTACATAGACCTTTTTATCCAAGCACATTACACAGAGATGTATGTATCAATATTCCTTTTTTTTTTTCTAGATGGAAAAAGTGAAGAACAGAACAGTTGAGTGAATTGCACAATGTCCCACAATGAATCACTGGCATGGAATTCACATCTCCTAACAGCCCCGCAGTGCCCTCTCCTTTTGACTACACTGTCTGCTGTGTATAAACACAATACAGCTTCCTTGTCCTTTCTAGCTTTCTTCTTCCTTGAGCAGGCCCTGTGTACAGGGGACAATTTCACTCTTGGTGCTCAAGTGGAGCTTAAACATAGCATAGGCCTTTTGAATGTTGCTTTTATTTTTCCCCTATGCTAGCATGTATCATTGTTAACAAGATCCTATTTTATTTAAAACTTCCCCATTATATCTTTTACATATGTCTCCTATAAGCTCTGACCTCCTGACTTGCATTTTGTGTGTGCAGAGAATTACCCACTGCTCTTTGTAAAATACAGAAAGTGAATAGGAAAAAAACAACATATCAAACTAAATGCAGCACAAATCCAGATCTGCTCATGGATCCCTTATAACCTTCCATTCCAAATCAGCTTGGGGCCTTGGATAGCACCTCTTTACATTCATACATCTGCCTATGAATGTGTACAGGGTTATACTGCACCTGGGATATCTGGTGTCTGGAATAGGCCGATCCAGGGGCAGACGGTCACTGAGATAAACATTATACCCATATTTAGTGAATAGATCCTGAGCTGTGGTTTGTTGCTCTTCTGTTAAATCTGCACCCCAGCGCTTGAACAGATGTGAATCTGGAAACAGCTTTCTGTGCACAACCTTCTTTTCCATCTTGTCTTCCTCCTTTGCTTTCTCAGCCTGGTGCATTTCATCCTTTGACTCCTCTGGCAGCTTTATGTCATCTTCTTTCTGTTTCATTCTTTCATTATGAGAGGGCTTTTTCATGGAATTTGCTGCTTAAAAATAAAGTGTGTTTAGGGTCTAATGACAAGAGAGAATAATGTGTAATAAAGATAATGGGCCAGATTCTCCTCACACAGGTTTAAATCAGGAATAAATCAATGCAGTTACAATTACCATGAAACTGGCATGAGAGGAGAATCAGTTTCTAGCTTCTTTATAAAAAGGAATCTGTAAAGGCAGGATTCCAAAAGTTAGTCCTAACAATATCAATATTGTTGGTCAAATTCTGCTCACTACAAAAAATAATTTCCCCTCTGTTGATACTCACCCCTTCTTGTCAAATGTTGGGAATGGGCCACATCGACCCTAATTGAATTGGCCTCATTAGCACTGACCCCCCACTTGGTAAGGCATCTCCCATCTTTTCATGTGCTGTATATTTATACCTGGCTACTGTATTTTTCACTCAATGCATCTGATGAGGTGGGTTTTAGCCCACGAAAGCTTATGCCCAAATAAATTTGTTAGTCTCTAAGGTGCCACAAGGACGCCTCGTTGTTTTGCTGATACAGACTCACACAGCTACCCCTAGGAAACCATTCTTCTCTCAGTTTCCCTGGTGTAAATAAAGAGAAACTCCATTGAAATCAATGGAGAGATGCAGAAAGAAAACCAGTGTACAAGTGATATTAGAAACAGGACTCAAGGAGTTCAGTAGAGTTTGTTCTGATACACCTGCGGGCAAACTACGACCCGCGGGCAAACTACGACCCGCAGGCTGGTCCTGCCTGGCCCTCAAGCTCCTGGCCCGGGAGGCTAGCCCCCAGCCCCTCCCCTGCTGTTCCCCCTCCCCCGCAGCCTCAGCTCGCCCCGCCGCCGGCGCAATGCTCTGGGCAGCGGGGCTGTGAGCTCCTGGGGCAGCGCAGCTGCAGATCCCGGCCTGACCCGGTGCTCTGTGCTGCGTGGTGGTGGCGGTGCGGCTGTAGCGTCACCAGCCACCGGTGCTCCAGGCAGCATGGTAAGGGGGTAGGGAGCGGGGGGATGGGTTGGATAGAGGGCAGGGGAGTTTGGGGTGGTGGTCAGGGGACGGGGGTGTGGATGGTGGTCAGGGGGGAAACGGGGTTGAATGGGGGCAGAGGTCCTGGGGGGCAGTCAGGAAGGAGGGGGAGTTGGATGGGGCAGCAGGGGACAGGGAGAAGGGGTGGTTGGATGGGGCAGGGGTCCCGGGGGGGCCGACAGAAATGAGAGAAGGGGTTGGATGGGGCGGCGGAGGTCTGGGGGCAGTTAGGGGACAGGGAACGCGGGGGGTTGCATGGGGCAGGAGTCCCGGGGGGTGCAGATAGGAGGTGGGGGCCAGGCCACGACCCCCTCCCCTCACCGGCCCTCCATACAATTTACGAACCTGATGCAGCCCTCAGCCCAAAAGGTTTGCCCGCCCCTGTGATACACTGAAGTAACTAAGATCAGCATCTGGCCATATCTGAACCATGTTGCTTATGCAATATGGGCTATGAGAGTAGTTCTAAGCATAAAGCACAAACGACCTCTCCACCCTATCTCCATTACATGACTGCTTAATAATATCTCCCTTGCCTAGATAAACTTCTGGGGGAACTGACAAATTAGGCTGTATCAAAAAGGCAGGGAATTCACAAGAACTGTCTATAGGTATATATCTCAGATATTTATATTTATTTTTGAACTTCGCTATTGCAGTCATACTCTGTCACTAAGGGTGGTGTGGTCATTGGGCTGGGATACTTATTACTAGAGTTAGAGAAGTGAACCCACATAGTCTGAGCCAATTCCAGGGCTTCCTAAGAGACATTTGAAAGGGCTGCTTTCATCTCTGGCTGATCACTGTGCTGTATATCCTTGCTCTGTATCCCCTTTCCCTGGTACTCACAAGCCTATCTAATGGCAGAGTAAGTCTAGACCAGGGGTTCTCACAACAAGTGTTTTGATGGCCTCAGAGTGCGGCTACCAACTCTTGCTGGTGGCCGCTCTGACAATTTTTCCTAAAATACATAATTAACTTTAGGGGGAAACAGATAAATATTGTCCAAATCATTGTAATTTATTTATGTACGGAAGGCAGTGGGACGTAGCACTCCCCATTCAGCACACATGGACTTTGCTCCTATTCTTGTGCTCGGAGCATGTCGCAGAGTAGAAGCCCCTCTTCCTGCCGGGGAGCTGCCAAGCCCTGCAACAGCCCAGAGCCGCTGAGCTGTTGTAAACAGTGAGTGTGGCCCCATGTGGGGGAAACGCCAACTCATCTCACTGTCCCTGCTGCCCATGGACGTTGAATGAAACCCGCCCTGGGGAAAGTGGGCTGGGAACTCACTGGCCGCCTGCAGAGTCCCAGACTCCCCGTGCCATGGCCAGGCAGGAGTGGGGGAGCTGCCCTGGGGAACACCCTGGTGACCAAACACGATAGCCACTGACAAGAGTCACCTCCAGCACTGCGCACACTGGCAAGTGTGACTCCAGAGGCGCTGCCCAGAGCCCCCAAGGAGGCTGGGCATTCCGCAGGGTGCCGATCCCTGCTGGCCGCATTTGAGGAACGCTGCTCTAGACAACATGTTGATTCTAAAACCATGGCAGCTGGCAGTGCCTTGGCTGCACTATCCCTCCCACCACTGCTACCAGTCTGGTGGAACAGAAAAGGCCTAGCGAGGATGGGGGAAAAAATCCTAATGACAGCACGGACTGAAGGCCTGATACTGCAGCACTTATCTGGGTGATTTCAGTGGTACAACTCACTTGAGTAAGGCTGAAGGACTACACCCATTTGTCACTAGGTTGGGTTTCTCCACAGCTCCAAAGTCTTTCGCAAGGAGGTTTATTTCCTTAACAGAGGTTATCAAACAAACCAGTCTTTGCTTATTTCTTAGACTCTAGCTTCAGGTCCAGGGGCCTCTGGCACCCCTGCTCATAAGAACATAAGAAAGGCCGTACCGAGTCAGACCAAAGGTCCATCTAGCCCAGTATCCTGTCTACTGACA